GTTGCCTGGTTTATGGGCAGTACAGGCACCGAACATCTGGCTGTGCAGATGGTTGAAAAGCACACAAGACAAAGAAAACTCATTACAGCCCATTTTCCATCCGTCTAGAGGGCCTGCTGTGGACCCATGTGCTTGACCAAAAAGAGTCATAAATTTTGTCTTAAATTGAGAGAGAGGTCATATCTACTATGCTGTTTCATGGTGTGTCACCTAGCTAGAAGCCGAGTACACTTGGGGGGTGTGTGTGTGTGTATGTTCGTGTGACCCTGGCGGTGTCTCATCTATCAGAAAGTGTCAGACTCTTCAGTTGTCCACCTCATTTCCTGCTTGTGGGAGAGAGGGCTCAGCAGAAGGAAGGAAAAGAGTTTTTACATAACCAGTTTGAACCAATTACAACCACAGGACAGGTCAGGCATTCTTAGCCTCAGGTTTTGTAGCTGTTTAATGCATAAGGATCACAGCAGATGTAGTTTTCAATATGTTTGTTTTCGCATTATAAATTTGAAGTAACAACCGGATGGAAAAAAGAATAGAAGAACAGTAAGTTTCCATTGCAATACATGGAGGGACTGCTAAGAGAAAGTATGTGCCACGTACACACGTTTTGTTCCATTGTGGACTCTTTTGAGGACACTTTATAGATCATAAAGTTTACACTCATAAAATTGCAGATGATAAATACTGGACTATAGTAAATAGAGATTTCAAACACAGGCCCCAATGTTACTGTCATTCATCTAACTGTACAGAGCAGTAAGAGTATGCCACAAAAAGAGACTCTTTGTTGTATCTATTATGTTTAAATATACAGTCAATACAGTAATAAATTCTTTATGGATAGAGCTCAGGGCACCAGAATCTTAAATGATGGCTGTTCAGGTAAAAGATGCCTCAAGTATTCAGAATATTTCTCTTTTATATTTTTAAAGTTCATTGAGTAATACTGCAGGTCTCATCCCTTTGTCCCCTTAAAGAAAGAAGCCAAGAGGTAGTTTCGCTTATCAATAGACCTTAATGTGAAGACAGTAATAACACTTCCTGTTGCCTCACACAGGATGATTGCGGTCAAATTCAGATTAAGGTCACGCGCAGCCTAAGGATTTTGAGCAAGAGTAACAAGGAGTTTGATGTTCCTTGTTTTACTTTTTTCTTCTATACAGGCCTTCAGTCCATCCAATCCAGCTGCAGTGTCAGTCGGTGTGATGGATGTGCCGTGTTTTATTGTGTAACTGATGTTTTCTAGCCTCCAGGTCAGTCAGAATAATGCAGAACTGCAGCTCCGGTAAAAACCCAGTAACATGACTTTACACTCACATAGGACTGCGTCCATTCAGGCAGATCATTTTAAGTGCATGTGTGCAGTGTTGGGCATGATTCATAAGTGGCATTTCAGCTAGGTGGAAAGCAGTCACAGTTGTGAAAAAGGAAGCAACTGTTTATGTAATTTCTTTCCTTTGAATTATTCTTCAGCAAAAACTATACAACTGATAAATTCTGAAGACAATAAATTACAGTGCAGTCAGGATAGTATTGTGTTGGCACTATTTCAGATTATTGAATATGAAATGACAGTAATTATAAGGTCAAAGTGCTAACTTTCTATTTGAGTTGTTACATCCAAATTCAATGAACCAATGTAGAAATTGTAGCCCTTTTTATATTTACAGTGGTTTCAGAAAGTATTTACGTCTTCCCTTTAAATAACTTTGCAAAATCTCTAAAAGCATGCTTTCAGTTTGGTTATTGAGTGGAGACTGATGGGAAAAATGGCAGTTTTATCCTTTCTAAATTAAATCACCAACACAATAAGGGTGTGCAAAAAGTGCAGGGGTCTTAAAACATTCTGAAGTCACTGTGCCCCAAAGGGTAAGAATTAAATTAGAGTGTGCTATGAAATCTAGTGCAATGGAGTAGAGCAAAAACAATGGAAAACACTGTCCTAATCCACTATGTTCAAGAGTAATGTGAATTTTCATTTTCCCACATGCTGTTGCGTTTTCATTTCTGGAGTCGACTAAGCAGCTGCGCCCAAATTTCCCCTCTTAAATGATTTCCTCAGCCTGGGCAAATGATGTTTAGTTGATGAAATATTCATTGATCCACACTCTGTAACCATTTAGGTAAGTCACTACAATGCAGAACACTGAACAGTTGTGAGCATCAGCACACCAAGATTTTTCTTCTTCATCAGTTTGCTGCTCCAGGCCCTGCTGAGCCCTGTGAGAGGTAATAAAACTGTCTGTGACTACGCAAACCTTGCAGAACCTCAGGATGGAGAAATTTCTGCAGAGCCCCGTAAGACTGTGTCTCCCAAATAAGCATTGACATGTAATTCCCCTCACCTAGGCGCCCCAGAGGACTCTGTTGGTGCGACCAATAAACAGCCCATTTAGCTCAGAGGTCACTCCAATGCTTAAATCCTAACAACAACTTTTGCCAGACGGCCAAAAACAGGGCATTTGATTGACAGAGTTTGTTTTTTTTTATCCTTTCCTTACTACTTTTTTTCCTCTCTCTCTTTCTGCCCTTGAGGGTCCCCTGACTAAGTAGCCAGTCAGCATCTGTTTTGGCACACCTCCATTATTTTCTGATTGACCACCTGCACCAGTAGCACATCCCCTCGGATTTCTCCACCTCACCCTCCTCTTAATCTCCCATCCATTGCCCCAAATCAAAGCTCAGGTCACTTTGCCCATGGCCTGCAGGCATCGCTCATTATACTGTGAAATTTCAATTGCTACCTGACCCCTTCCACTCAATTCCATGGCTGCTTGTGGTGGACCATGGTCCCTGCTGCTCCACTCTGACTCTTTAAATGAACCAACCTTTGGCTCAAGGCCGCCACTCATCTCAGCAAGACGAGAGGGAGACAAATTTAGTTCAAATGAATGTCAGGCCTTGTTATTGTGCCTCTTGGTTAATATGGTTTGGGCACTCCGAGGCTCAGGCTCTCCCTCTTCCCTCTCATTCTTATTTCAAACATAGTCTTGCACACACAGTGAGATTGAACCTCCTCAGTTCACTGCTTTGAAAAATGAAAAATCTTGGCCAAATCCAGTTGTAACCGTGTTGATGGGGTGCAAGATTTTCAATAATACAGCCTTGCTTCATTGGGGAACTATATCTTATTCTCACTGGCTGTTTTTGTGAAATAACCTTTAAACACACCAACTTGATGCCATGTCTGTAATAGAGAAGGAGAGAATCCTTCCCAGGCCATTTAGATTATCTCTCATGAACAGCCTGTCACAACCCATGTAACTCTGTGTCCTGTGTCTTCAGGAGAATGGCATATTTCAAGCATGCATTGAGTAAACGCAAGCATGATGATTGGTTCTTTGAAGCTAAAGTGTCAGAATAATCATGTATGACCATCAAGCACATTTGTCACTTTAAATGTAAAGCAGAACCTTCCAGCAGCAGCGATTCGATGGCTTCATCTGTAACATTTTCCAGTTAAGTGATGTTTGTTGCAGTAGCACTGAGTGTGGGCTGCCTGTCCCTGTTGTTATGCATTAGTTAGGTGTAGAGGTGGAGGCTAGCGTGCCACCTTTCTTCAGGCCCAGTTGCATATTAATAAATTGAATGCCAGCATATGAAAAAAGTAAAACATAAATGTACCTTTGCTGGCTAACGTGTAGTGTATAGGAGTCGGGATAAGGCTTTGGGATTCATGTTAAACTCTGATTTGGGGACTGCTGTAGTGACACTTATACAAATACATACCGGGGCAATGAAAATGCCAATTTCCTAAAAGATCACGGTGAGGTCTTCAAATTAATTGCTAATTTTGTCTGAGCAGCACTCGAAAACCCAAATATCGAGATTTAATTTACTGTCATATAGGACAGAAGAAAAACAACATTTCCTCACAACTGAGAAGCAGCAACATGTTTTTTGACTGAAACATGACTAATGATGAATCACTTATCTAAATGGTTCCCAGCTCATTTTCTGTTGATTGACTAATCAATTAATCATTTCAGCTCATAAACATGTACTAACAAAGTCCAGCCCAGTCCAGTGGTGAGATGCGATAGGGCTGCTTTCGGAGAATACACACACTGTGTGTGTTTCTGAAGCCCTTCTCAGACATGCACTGCAACCCTGAAATTATGTAGACATTACCCTGAAGAGCTGGATGTGAGAACACAAATATCTAAGTCAGTCCACTCAACTATTAAGTGGACTTTACCCCGCCAGCTTCCTAGTGCAAAATCTGTGTAATGTCTGAGTGAGTGAGCCCATGTGAGAAATAGTCCAGTCCACACCAAGCTAGTGGGAATGTTGATGATGTTCTATCATGTGACTGACTCAAAACAAAAACAAAAAATATACAAACATCTGACAGTGAAGATGCCAATGAAAATATCTAACTGGAGACACAACGAGATTTGAGAACTGCTGTTGTGAGGCACTGAATTCATCAGACAGATTTAAAGAATGTCAAGAGACTCTGTTGTTTATTACCAAATTACAAACTGGCTATGTAACCGGGTCATGTCCCGCCTCCTGGATCCCCCAGTAACCCAAAAGGAGTATTTCCAGTAGGAGCAGCTGTGTGCTACATGCATGAAAGGGCAACTCTGGACAAAGTGCGGACCTGATTCCACGGACATAGTCCAGAGATCATACAGTATTTGAAAACCACGTGAGATTATGTGCTACTACGTGTGAGAAAAAGGCCTCTTGTCCACTGTTTTGCCTGTCTACCAGCTGGTGGTGTCTGTCTGCCTTGAAAAATTCTTCTTAGTTGAAAATGACTTTTTTTTTTTGGGCCAGTTTTACACCCACTTTATTTTGTAAAATGGAAATTGCTTATGTTCTGCTTTCAGTATGCATATTGGCTCACAGCTCTGCAGCAGGCTAACTGTTGGCCTTTAAGGTGTTTCCTCGAAGCACTAATGAAAATGAAAAAAGTAATGTTATTGCACAAACAGATTCATTGATAATGTTTGCTGCTGCACTGGAGGTGACGTCCATCATTTCTGTGTCTACAGCCAGTGAAAACTGCCACGACTTCCACCCGATGTTCTTCACTCATGATCGCTCCTTCGAGGAATTTTTCTGCATCTGCATCCAGCTGCTCAACAAGACCTGGAAGGAGATGAGAGCCACAAGTGAAGACTTCAACAAGGTAATGTGTGTGTGTGTCTTTAGGAGGCGGGAGGCTTAGCTGAATAACAGCCGTCACTGCATCCCTCTTTCCATCCACACTACAATTTGGGTTTTGAGTTTGTAGTGCATTCACATCGGAAAAGTGCCAACTGGAAGACTAGGTGATGCCAGTGTGCATACTTAATTAGTTAGATATTTGAGTGTGATGTTGATGGACTTGTCACAGCTGGAAAAAGTTAATATAGTGAGACAGCTCCAAGAAGATTTTAAAAAATTTCCATGTATGATATTTGCAATGATATCTTCTTTTTGTCCAAGTGCTGTCCCAGTTTGACTGGTGTAACATTTAATGCATACCAACTAATAATATGCAGTTTCAAAGCACAGCAAAATTTACAAACTGTCATTTAAAACACAGAAAATATGCAACACTGTGAGAGTTTGCTGCCATGTAAAATGAGATATATTTTTGAAAAATGAATGTATTTGATAATAAATATTGAAATAGATGATGATGCTGAACTTTGTGCAGAATCATGGCACAGATAGGATTTCTGTCACACATCGCTAACTTTTCATTGTAAGCTCTGGCAGAAAGCCGCACGGTGTCATAGCTCACTCGTATTTACAGCTGTGATAATAACATCTCAGTTTATTTTATTATATTTTAGTTATTAGGATGACATGCACATTCAGATTTCAGGCCTCATTAAGGTGCAGAGACATGGAAATGCTTTTCCTCTGTGCACAGATGAGCATGCTTAGGCGATTCCTTTTAAGTGCCCAGATTGAGTGAGGCATGCACATCTCGAGGGCTTTTTAGAGTTAACATGTTTTTCTGCATTGGTTTCCTTCTTCTGACATGAAATATTATCTGGCTTCAGATGTCTACGTTTTCGTTTGGAGTTTGACAGAGTCTGGATAAAGATAAAAAACATCCTGTGAGCTGCTAATGTTGAGTTGGCGTGTGTTATTACGTGTGTATTTTATGTTGTGTATTCATATGGGCATTAGTTGTACCACTCAACAGAAGCTCTGTGCCCTTTTCTTGATTTATCAAACAAATTATAATTATCTTGTGGGTCAACGTGAGCTTCTGTCCAAGTCGCCGCTTACACAGTGATTTGTCTAACGTTCTGCTCAGATTTACTGGCTTTGGTCAGCGTCAGAAATGTCTCACATTTGCCTTTTGCCAGTCCTTATAGTCCTGTTAAGGGACACATTGTGCATCATGATGGTATCACTGTAATTTGCTAATTCAGACATTTATTAAATCATTTTTTATTTGTGAGTGGAGTGTCTGTCAGTGAAGTCATACAGGCCAGTAGTGCTCAGATGGTAAACTGTAATTACAGTTTCCACAAATAACTGATATAAAAAATGCATTGTTGTTGTTTTCAGACTTGTAACAGCATTCTTGATCTGCTGCAAGAGAGTCATAACATTGGAGTCAAGATGAAAAACAGGAAAGTCTACTGATCCTGTTAAATGGTCTTATACTTGTATAGTGCTTTTTACGCTTTACAGCGCACTCAAAGCGCTTTCACACTACTTGGCCATTCACCCATTCACACACCGGTGTTATCACCGGGAGCAACTGGGGGTTCAGTGTCTTGCTCAAGGACACTTCAACATGTTGACCGGATAAGCCAGGAATCAAACTGCTAATCCTCCGGTTGGGAAACGACCCACTCTACCTCCTGAGCCACAGCCGATCCTGTTGCAGCTGTTGGAATAAATGTTCAGTGCACATTAACTGAAATTCTTGCCACCATCTGTGTTTTTATTTACTTATGAACATGATGGTGTAAATAATAATATGCCTAATATATGAACTGAAACTTAGGGTTCTATCTTGCAACAAACGCATGGTGTGCGACGCAGGTAGCACGTCTGTATGTCCAGATTTCCTACGTGTGCAATTACCATTTTCATGACATGCATATCACGTTGCCTTTTTACCAAGCAGCAGTTTGTCAACTCTGCGCCGACAGGTGCGTCCAGATGTAAACGGGGTGTGTCCAGGTAAATTTTGGTCGGGCTGGTAATATGAGGGTGCACAAAGTGACTGCACCACTGACCACCAAAAATACCCTGGGACGCCCTGCACAGAACATGCAAAACTTAAAAAATAAAAAGATGACCTTGTGCTCATCAGGTGTTGTGCACATCAATATATTTGTATTTTTAATACTGTAAATACCATTTTGATTAGTGATTGTGCACCTTCACCTCATGCACAAGTCGTTTCCTCAGTGGAAAATCTTGCTGACATTCAAGCTGGCAAGTACGCCAGTATGCTAGCAATCCGCCAGACATTCAAACCCACGTCTGTTAAAGGGGATGTGGCGTTACTCACCGCCTGGGTAATTGCATGTTATGCCCAAAACACACCTCTGCTTTAATGAGGAGATCGGGTACAGCCATTTTGCTACTTGCAGGGGCACTTGAACCATTTTTCCTCATCGTCAAATTACCAAAACGAACATGGACACACCCAAACACCATAACCAAATGGGCTACTACATCTCAAGTTCAACTCTACTTCTAGTTCATCTTGAGGAGAATTCAACATGCATAACTGCACACACCCTCCCCTAGCAATCCAGTCCCATCCTTCACATCCCCTCCCTTAAGTGAGGCAGCTTCGATTGAGTTGGGATTGATGATGCTTCTCTCCCCAACATCATCTTTCATCACACAGTATTTTGGGAGTTTGAAATTCAGCTGCAGGTTGTTGACAGCAGGACTGTTTGGTCTCAAGGGCTTCCTATGAGCTAAATGGTGCGTGCCGAGCTTTGCACTTCCAACTTCTGATGCCAAGTCTTAGTTTGTAACAGCTAAGAACTTGTAAACACTCTCGAGGCATCAGTTGTCGTTTTTTTTTTTTTTTTTACCCAATTCTGTCAACAAGAGACTGAGTTGTGTATTTATAACTGAGACAGTCATGGACTGCCCATTTCATAAAACAAAATGTCTCAGTGATGGAGAAGAGGAAGATGTTCCAGAGAAACACACTGGGAAAAATTGATTTCACCCCCACCCCACCCCAAAATCCTGAGCATTAGCATGAGCAAATAACAATCATAAATTAATACTGGTAAGAATAAGAGTTTTAAGTTAAAGTACTTTTACATGGTCAGTAAAATGAGTAATTAAATGAAGGGATAAAAGAAAACACAGATCACAGATTTACACATTTAAAATCTTTTTTTCCATGACAAAACAGAACGTGTGTGTCTGTGTCACCTCTGACCCATGATTTGTTTCAGGTAGCTACTGTGACCCAAACAGCAAATGTCAAGTTTGGTTTTGTACAATAGACTGGGTTAGCTAATCCCCCTTAAAATACATTTAGCTGGATTCATTAAAGAACTCACCCCTTTTTTTATTTTAACATTTCATAGGAATTAAGCCATTTTTTTTCTCTTTAAGAAAAACTCAAATGTGTATTCTACACATATTTGCCATATAATAAGAAATATCCCAATTAGCATGGACACAGAATTAGAAATTGTTTTTATGCCCACTTAATAACTGCCACCAACTGGACTCTTAAACTGGGCTATTACATTTAGAATTTGAGCTACCCCCCTTGAGGACATCAGTCATGCACAGTAAATAGATATTGGTGTCTCAGTAGACTTAAGAATTTTATAGTCTTTTTTTATGGCTTTTTAATATAGAATGGGGTTGAAAGTGATGGTTATAGTGATCTTCACAAATGAGCTTGGCCTTTGATGAGCACAAGATCTCCAAACATCCTACTTCTGCCGCATTTAGCTGAGAAACAGGAGTTTATCATCTTGGCCAGGTCTCCCTTGAAAAAGAGATCTTGATCTCAATTGGACTTCCTGGTAAAAATAAAGGTTAAATGAATAAAATATCAGTTCAATCAAATGCTTGATTTGTCAAAAGAATTCTGTCCATAAAACTTGAAAAAAGCCCTTTGTTGCCATCAAGAATGATAAATGTCTGTTTTGTGAAAGAACTATAATGTGCAAATGTATGCATGTCGCCATTCGGTCCTTTTTTGTACATACAGTATATGAGGATTTCTGCTCTTTAGGGTGTGTGGGAGGGTAGTAAACTGTGTCAAGAATAATTCTGAGGGGGTCCACTTCAAAACATAGCAAGTGTACGACTAACAGCTACCACACTCAAAGTCAGACACAGACAGCACTGAGCTTTCTGAGGTGTGGAATGCTAAAACACCTTGTTCGTCTTTTATCGATGTTTGCACAGCACTGAGGCCTGCAAATGTGTGAGCGTTTCTTAGATGCTGATGTCTCTCTCAGCAGCAGTCTCTTCATGGCTGACTGAGCAGCTAGCCTGTATGCATACACACACATGCACGCACAGGGTCTTACATGGCTTTATGGTCATTTAAGACAAAGGCACTGAGGCTTAAATGGAGCTTAAAAATACTGTGGCTTTTAAGCCTACACACACTTCATAGAGCCGCTATATCTCGTTTGCTTTATAAATGTGCTTAGTCAAAGACGTGGTTAGAGAGAACAAAAGGTGTGTGTGTGTGTGTGTGTGTGTGTGTGTGTGTGTGTGCTGTTTTTTTTTTTTTTTACACAATCTGTGTGTGTGTGTGTTTAATGAAGGCAAGTCTGATGCTCCCAGGGCACAGCTCCGACCGTCAAGCAACCGTTTCCCCTGTTTCCATAGCAACCCCTGTCCAATTACCATTGCCTCGCCGCACTACTCTGGCTCTGTTTCGTTAAGATGGAGCCACTTCTCCGCTGCATGTGTACACGCCTGTGTTTGTGGGCATCTATCAGAGACTGTCTTGTACGACTGCCTGGTGTCTCTTCATCCAAACATCTGTGCTTAGAGCTTCTCCTCCTCCTCCTCCTCCTCCTCTTACCCAACAGGAGGAAAAAAAGCCCTCCATCTCAGTCGCTTGGAGAAAAAAAATCCCTGACTGATGTAGTGGCTTGCAACCACTCGCGATACCCCTCCTCCTCCTCCTTCCCCTCTTCTTCTCTCATCCGTCCCTCCCACCCTCTC